CACATAACATTTCAATTTCATGCCTGTGTCATGAACTCAAACTGAAAAGAAATTTCAAGCATTCGCTCTCTCATTTCCCACAGTATGGTTACTCTCATAGAGGTGAGCAGGCTCTGCCTGCCATGTCCCATGGTGGCAGCACATCCAGCATCACAAACTACAGGGGTTCCACATGCTGGTTGAGGCCATATTTTGGTTTTTCAGCGCTGAAGTTGCGTTCATCCCTAGACTTAAACAGTTTTGTAGGGAACACCATTTATTTGGACAATCCATGACCTGAAATGTTACTCCTGCTGCCTTGATGTGTTTTTACTGTGGAGAGATTTAATTAAGCCAGTTGTAGGTTGTAATACATCTAGCTAATAGACTGTAACTTTTCTGTTAGCCATGCTGCACAATTTGGAGTGAATAGCCTACCAGTGCCACTACCTGACAAAAGTTACCATAAAATGCTTGCTGAGCAATCTATAAAAAGTTAGCATGTATTGACAGATTACTCCAGCCACATTTTTAGCCTCTGGAAGAAGCTGTATACCGAAGCAACAGGTCAGCTTGGTGACAACAGACCTCAAAGTTACAGGACTGATGGAGCCAAAAGGGTAGAGCTGGGCAATATCTCGTGCTCAGCAGGAGGGACTTGGTAGCCCATTGCTCATGGCTTGTTCACTGTTCTAACCACGTTTGTCCAGGCAGAGCACCCACCTCGACCCTGGGACACAGCTCATTCTTTCCTTCCACCTCTGCCTGTGTAATAAAGGATTACCACATCAGGTTGCTTACTTAACTTACATAACTAGATGAGCCAAAACATTTTTAAAATAAAATTAACCACACACAAGCCTCTAATTCCTTCTTCCCCTTCCAATTTTCTAGGTGTTTCTTTCCAAAAATACAGACATTTTCTGACAGGACAGTTGCAGGTACAAGTCTTACCTCAGTGCCTGAGGCTAGCACTGCATTTCCAATGAGCTACCGACCAGCCATTCAGTGCTCTTCAACCAGGCAAACAGGATAATTCCTATCCATCAGTAGAGTTTTATCTGCATTGTGCAGGACTCTAAACACTGTCACCTCATAACTGACCATTTACCCTGAAATTACTTCTCTTTGAGTGGTTGTCAAAAGACTTATAAACCACAGTGAGTTCTGTCTATGCAAGTTGGGCAAATAAAAGTTTCACCATTACACATTTTGGTCTGTTACTTTCTCCCAAATGACCTCAGAAAACAGATGAATTGCTCATATACTTTTTTGTTGTTGTTGCAGAGTACGATGGAAACTGCTTTCACCTCCAGAAGCCTCTCTCTCCCTGCTCTCAAATTATTGTCTCCCTATCCTTTCTTCCCTCTCCTCTCCTCTCGCTCCTCTTCTGTCCTTTCCCATCTCATTCTAGAAAAGTACCTCAGGAAGTTAGTGCACTCAGCTCCCACTGTTAACCAGGGGGGAAAAAAAAAAAAAAAGGAAAAAACCCACACCAGAAAACCTCAGAGCCAATTTAGCACATCATTTGCAGGCAATACATTAAGGAATGTAAATTCCCCTGCCTGGCACAGTACCATCCTTCCTCTTACTTCATGCCGTGCTCAGCTGGATGCCAATGCTTTAGAAGAGGAATGCAGCCCCTTCAGAGGAAGTTTAGTAGTGTGGCCTGTAGCCATTTATACATACATCTAATATTAACAGAGATCTTCCCACAGACATGAAGAGCTCGCATTGTCTATTAATGTAGATGTATGGGAGCCCCAGGCTGATGGTTTTCTTGTTTGTTTTTATTAACTGTAGAATTAATCCTCAGCAGGTTTAATACCTGCCACCATAACTCCTCCAAAGATTTCAGATGGGTAAAACATAATCTACTTGATGGGTTGTGTGGCTTTGATTAGTAAAACACAAGTGGTTTTGATCAGCAGCAGTACATCAGAATTACAAAATTGTCCTGCCAAGCAATTTCTTGTAGTTATCAGAAAGAAACAGGGGCAAGAGCTGGGTGGAGCAGTGGGAAAAGCACTAAGGTGTTACTAGTAGTGTGAGTTTCTTCAGTTTGAATAGTGACATGTCGCTGAGGTTAGCATCTCTACCTCAGATAATCATAAGCACTGATGTTCCCTCTGCAACATCCTGCTTAGAAATTTTAAGTCATCTAACACACAGCATGCACTGTTTTTCAAAGCAGATATAAACTTTTCTATTATTTTAACTGTCAGAACAGACTGCAAGGAGCTTGCATCTTCCATTCACATTTCATTAGAGTATCTGAACATAACTTGTTTTCTCTCAACGTTTTGCTGTGCAGTATTTGCAGAAAGCATTTGACAGCAGAACAAAGCAGTCATCAACATATCTTGGGCTAAAACAATGACAACAACATTATGACAGGTTCCTTCATCTACCCATGCTTTTGCTGAGCTGAGGGATTTTTCAGCAGTTTTTATTACTTTTGTTTGTTTCTCAGGATACACAAAATGAGCACACAAACATAGCCAGCTATTTTAATTAGATATAGGAAAAAAAACTCAGACGAGACCAGCTTGAATGAGTTTTTTTAAAAAAAAAAAAAAAAAATTTTGCACGTTAATTTCCGATTTACCTCAGATGTATTGTGTTTTCTGACCAGCATACATTTCCGATTATACTCATTCAACTGCTGCTATTAACAGACAGAAGCAATATCGGTAAGCTTGCTCTGTTTCTTAAGACTATGAATGTCTTAAGATCCACAATTTTGTTTGCTTTTAATTGTGATCTTTATGACTTCAGAATGATGTCAAAAGTCCTCATTTTTGGTAACATGAATGCAACAAGGGCATCATGCAAACTGTTCCCAAAGGGTCTTTTCCGCCATAACTCAGTAGCATAATATGGCAATTCCAGGTTTTGAGATAGCCTGACTTTATACTGAAGAAGTTCAGGAAACCTTTTAGTGTCTCCAGGTCAAATACTCAAATGGCCTGAACCCTGAATTCTCTTCAGGAATGCTTCTCTCCAAAACCACATGAAGGAGCTTTGGGAATGTTTTTTAGGAATCACTGCTTTGCCCAAGCATGTCAAGTCACTTGACCTTCAGCATTGCAGCTGCACCTGGGGTGAGCTCCAGCATTTCCTGGAAATGCAAAGCTTACTTAGCCATGCTGCTTGCACTAAGTAAAATATTTAGTTGTTTAATAGCTAGCTCTCTCACTGGTAATAATTACACTGCCAAGATTACACTCTGTTGTTAAATCTTGTATTGGTTTAATTAAAAAGAGGTACTTTATTCTGTATTCTTAAGTAAAAGCTATCATAAAATAATTCCCCTGGTCAAGGTACCAGTAAGTTCACAAAGAAAGGCCTGTTTTGCTGTGCTATGGTGAATACAGCTTTATTCTATGGTCTCACTGGGAGCATGCACAGATTCGATGCTACTCAGTGCAGAAGGATAGCAGAACTATAAAAATATCTTCTATTAAATGTTCAGAAATCCTATTAACAGCAGCCATGAATCACAGAAAAATAGGACTAGAGAAATAAATAACACAAGACAGATATTTACACAGAGAATCTCTGCTTTTTCCTGTTATGTCTGATCACAATTTCCTCAATAATGCTCCTTTCAAAATGATTTATTGTGGAGCAAAACCTGAAAGTGCTATTGATGCTTCTTTTTGAAGAACAGGCTGCAAATATTCAAATGCTTCCTTTTTAACTAGTCATATTCTCCTTCTCTGTCCCTTCATCTGAATGAACATCAAATTGGAAACATTTTGAAGTTCTTTATACTTCAGACAATAAAAATATATTGTTTCCTTATTAATTACACTGTTGAAGTGTATGCAGTGAAAATGAACAATCATGACGACATACAGCAGAAAAATAAAATGGCTTCAAGGCTATCTGAAGAAAAACAAATCTCAAATCTATAATTCATATTGATGAAGACCAAACAGGAAATACTGATCAGACAACTGAGCGATATCAGAAGTAAACAATGGAATTCACATACTGTGTCAGTACCACACAGATATGTTAAATAACAAAACGTCTCCCCATGGTCTGTAAGTCATCCCTTTTACACAAAGTATCCTATAGGTGGAGAATAGGACAAGCATATAGGATTGAAAGGAAAACAAACAAACAAAAAAAAAAAATCAAAAAAATCAATGCTTTTTAGTTTACCAGACATCTTTGAATATCATGATTATGTGTTATCGTGGACTCATGGAGGGATTTTATCACTACAGGAAAGCACAAAATTGAGCCAAAGCCTACCATGCCAGCTGAGTTATACCCCAAGTTTCTGATATACAGAGAATTGACGTCCACCGAGAACTGTTGTTTAGGTAGTCAAGTTACAGTCACATGTGTTCACTTTGAGAGACCAACTGATTTAAATAGGTATTTTGGAAGATTAGAACTAAACTTCTAAGAGTAAAAAAGATTGCACCAAAAAAAAAAAAAAGTTTTAAGAAAACGTTGAGTTTGATGTATAGGGAAGTTCTTAACTAGTTGTAATAAATGCTGTCCCTGAATTATACATTTAAAAAGGTATATTTCAGTAAAGATCTAGTAAATACATAGAAATGTTAGCTAAGGTCCTCCAGTATCTTTCAGAATGCATTAAACCATATTGGTGAAAAATCAGCAACTTTTTTCCTCTTGCTCTCAGTTTGAGAGAGTTTAAAGATGCTGTCACAATAAGGTCACACTAAAACAGCAACTGCTAATAATACAAAAATATGTCCCTAGCAGGATCTGAACCACATTCTTGATACTTAAGCATGTTAGACACTTAATTTACATTTCTGAAAGTTCTTTAGATATTGCAGAGTAGCTGCCATGTGATACCATACCAAAATAGAAGGAGAATCTGGAGCAGAAAGGGGAATGTGCTGACAGTGACGGAGGTGGTGATAGTGATCACCATTTCTGACATCTTCCCGTGTCCAGTGCACTAGATCAGATGTGTCTGAAAACCCAGATAACTCAAAGAAAAAGCAGATACGCAAATCATGCTCCAAGCATACCTGTTCTACCAGCCCAGTAGAAGGTCAATGGGACATTTGGTGGATGGTAGACGTTCCTTGTTTCAAGACAAATGACTCCACTAGATGCAACTGTTCTACCACCTTAAAAAAAAAAAAAAGTATTTGATATTCCTATGACTGCTGTGCACCCACTTTAACTACATAACATCAAACAAAAAAGTGTCCAGAGCTCAAGCACACAGACCAGTGTCCTGTACCCAAATGATGTCCTTCTTTGTGTCAAATGCAAGGGAATAGAAAGAGATTAGACATCATGGTGAAGGGAAAAAATAAAAATAAAAACCCGATGTGGCTTTTATTCTAGACCTATAGAGTTCTGATCAAGGAAACATAGCTTGCCAACATTTGCTATCCCACTTAGCACTGGAAACATCTAAGTCTGTGGCAATGGCAGGTAAAACACCACTAAGAGTTTCAGCTCTCTCCATCCATCATTTTATTCATCCATCATACTGAATTATTCATTATCATTCTGCCTAGCCCACATGCTGTAGCTCCTCTTCTGTAAAGAGTCTGTTTACCAAGTTTCCTCCCCCAAAAAACATTAGTGAAGATGAAGAAAATAACATTTCCATACAGAAACAATAAGCTTTTACCTGTAGTACCCATGGAGGAAAATTCACTTTGACAAGCTACTGCTTGAACTTTATGAGTATCTTAAAGCATCTTGTAATCAAGCCTACAGAGCACTGTCTGGCTATTAACATGCTTCTGAAGAATAGTTTGTTGTTATTTTATTTCAAAGCCTTTTTTCAGGACAGATTTGCCTTACGTTGATGATAACGAAGGCTATCAGGATATACCCATTATAGCTCCTTGAAATCCACTCTTGAGCAGCTTCAGACAGTTTTTCAGCATTTTACAGCAGCATTATTATAATTTCAGCACAAAACAAAGACATATTGCATTGTCTTCCCCCTCTGCACACATCCCTACATCATGGCGATGTTAGTTATGAATCAAACTACACAGCGTTCAGGAGATTTTTTTCATTATGCCGACTCATTACACGAAGCAAAAACTAGCATTAAATAATACATTTAAATAACAAATGTGTATAGCTTTTGACCATTTTCCCCTTACTACTGCTAGGAAGTACAGCCACCCTACACTTTGTGAACCTGCCTGACGGTGCTGGTTCTTACAGGGACCAGAAGTGCTCTGGAGCCCAGAGAATGAGAACAGACCAACATCTCTGGTCCCCACAAGGATTTTCACTTGCTACCTCTCTCTCAAGCAAGTTGCTCTTTACACATCTGAGGAGAGATCCTGTCTGCATACCCGTGCACACTGAGGACCAGCAGACAAGCTTTAATTTTGCTTCCTCATGCCTCAGTCTGACATGCCTGAAAGGAAGAATTACATTAGACTCATGTTCTTTGATTCTGACTCAATTTGATTTCCACCAGAATGCCAATAAAGTGCTACTTTCAAGCATTTCATTAGAAGAGCTAACGTCAAAAGCTTATGGCTCTTGTGTATGTAAAACAATTTAGGATGCCATTTTTTCTGAAAGACAATCTACAAAGAAGGACAAGTTCTTTCTATTTCATGTTTTCCAGGAAGGTAATATCATTCCAGGGGCAGGATTGTTTTGGAGGCTAACTATGCATTCTTGCTGCACGTTTAATAACAGCAGCATTTCAGAGTGCAGCAGCAGAGACAAGCACAGCCAGGATGAAGGGTCTGTCAGCATTTTATGATAAAACATTATCTGCACAGGGTTACAACATGGCCTGGCAAAGCACTGATGTGAAAGAGGACAAGTCAGAGCTGGGAGAAAAAACATTCAACAAACATTAAAAAAAAAATAACCCTATTTATCTGAATATCTTTTAAAAATGGACTAGAATACCAAAAGCACCACCGAGAAACAATTATTCTAAACCTACACAGAGTTTATACAGTTAAATGTCCCTATGCCTTGCTATATGTTTAAACCGGGTGTCCAGCCAAAAAGCTCAGTTTGCAGAAAAAACTCATTCAAGTACTTTAAATAAGAGGAAAAAAAAAAAGTCCATGAGAAAGGACTCAATTTAGGACTTAACACAGGGTGTTAACTTCACATCAAGGCTAAACTGTAAGCCTGAACACTGATTACTACGTCCTTACAAAGAGAAGAAAATATATCCCAAAACTCAGAGGGGAGATAAAAAAAAAAACAAATAAATAAAATCTACCACCCCCCCAGAGAGGGAATGGAGATGGACCTGGAGCCACGCAGTAATGTCAAGAGGCAGAAACCAGCTCCTCCATATTTCCCCCCACTCTCAAAGGCTGTTTCTGGAAAGAAGGGCTCCAGAAGGTGTTAGGAAAATTTGAAACTACTAAGCTAATTCATTTATTTATTATAAATATCCAGAAATTCTGTTGATTGAAGCCTTTGAATACTTCACCCGTTAACAAATAACTGTGCCCTGGAAGCTTGAAAACTACTTTGCTCACACATTGAAGGAGTGAGAATTAGCAACCTGATGTTTCAGCATGTTGACTAATTTATTTTTTCCCCCTTCCTCTTACCTTAAAATGTCTCTGAGTTTAAAAACAAACCCACCCACTTTCCTCACAAGAGGAAACCATCACTTCATTCTGCTATGCAGAGAGAAGAAAAGTTCAGAAGACTTCTGTAGGTCAAGTGTCAGCTCTCTCTGGCTTTTCTTCTCTTGCTTTAAGTTCTCCAAACAGCAATCAATATTTGCTGTAAAACCCAGTCCTGAACAGGTGAGTTAAGGATGGAGTTTCATTAATTGAATCCCTCTGTGTCCCTTTCTGTTTATTTGCTCAGATCAGATCTTTGAGGTTAGCTGAGCCTTCAGTTTTCTGTGTGTTTGTTTTAAGGATCACATAACTTTGTGTTCTCCACAAAAATAAGAATGACATTCCTAATTACCATGGTAAGCAATCACATTAAATTAGAAGATGCTCTTAGTCATCTGTTTATGGCTGATCTTTGACAACATACCTTGAACAGTGGCACAGACAACCAGGAAGCCCTTCAAGGTTCAGAGGGGAAAAAGCTTGGGACAGTGCACTTGATCAATGTCACGACGAGTGTCAAGAGATGGTCATTATTGCCCTGTAGATTTATTGCTTAGGTCAAAGCAAATTACTTTTTCTCTTCAAGCTTTTTCCTGGCTATGTTTTTAATCTCTGTCTTTCTCTTTCTGCTATGGTGCAGGCTGACTGTGGGCTCGCTGTGGGACTAGCGAGTCTCTTTGGTCAACGGCCAGAAATTTTGGCAAAACGTCCCCTAGAAATCAGAACAAAGGTATCTTCCATTCTAAGAAATTTTATTCCCCATTCTCTCTAAGCACAAGCTCATACCTAAAAATAAAGGGAACAGACACTTATTTCGCTAGCACAAGTTCAGTGGCACACTTATGCTTTTACATGGTAAAGCCTCTTTGACGTGGCAGCGCAGTACCACATTGCTTAGAAATAAACACCCAGCAAAAGGGCAAGACAAGGAATTTTGTAAGGCATTTGTACAAAAATAAATAAATAAAACAACACAAATATACACTTCCAAGGCACGCCTTCACAAGTATATCACAGGAAGAGGTTGCACACAGCTAACACATTAAGTGACAGTCATCTTTCTGTAAAAGCCTACTGCACTGCAAAATCTGTGCTGGAGAAAAGTCTGTCTTATTCTCAGATTCAAAGAAACAACATTCATACCACCCCTCTTTACTTTTATAAATATAGGCATAGATATTTGCAAAGAGAAAATCTGGAGAGCATTTCAATAGCAAAAAAGAGTGAGCCTTTCAAAACAGGTATATGTTTTGATAAACCTGAGAGAACATAAAACACATTTGATTGTGTTTTTCTCTTTATTTCTTCCACGAATCTTCTGTGATTAGTCAAATAGGTAAATCCTATCACTTGTCATTGGGCAGGGCTTTTCCCCCCTCAGACCTGGGATTACTCATACATCAGACAGTCCAGACGTGACCTGAAACACAGCTACTGCAGGGTTTCCAACTTTATTTTTAGGGGAAAAAAAGTACAATATTTGGTGGGAGACACAAGGACCTATTAGGAAAGAGAATGAAAAAGAAAAATCAAAATTAATTGTCCATTTAAGGAATAGTTTAAAGGAAGGTATAGGAATGCTGAAAGGCATATAGACTTTACTTTGAAACATGAAAAGTAACATCTGCAGTCAGGCTTTCAATATAAATAAATAAATAAATGAAAAAACACAGACTAGAACAGCATACCTGTTTTTCTGACTATGCCAATATAAATATACCTTCAGAATTTTTCCCCTTTGCAAGCAAGTTTCATGTCAGACAGGCAACAAAATATAAAGAACACATAAGAATATTTGATTCTTTATCTGCCACCACAAGAACAACAAAATTAGCTTTCCATATTTACAGCCCATATTTCTGACAGTTTTTCCACTAAATTATGCTGAGCATCAAAGTCCTCCAGGTATCTTTTATTCCAGAATTTTGAGGTTTACCATTAGCTTCCATTAAGAGTTTATACAGATACTGTATATAAGTATATAAGATAGTAGACAATAAGTGTAAATATACAGGCAAGACAAATGCTCTGTTAACTCACAATTCCCTCTGTAGACTTATAACATATAAGTACATTTTATAAATAGAATATTCACACTGAAAAGAGATGGGATTTCATCTTTACAAAGGCAAGGCATTGATGTCACCTAAATGCCTCTTACTTAGGGCATTACCTCTCTGACATACACATCCAGAGGGTGGTGTGGACACCATAGTCCAACCCACGTTCTCTGAGTTCTCCTCCACTGCAGTGGCACACTGTGGATAGCACCCATGGTTTCCCAGTCTTAAAATAGTCAAAGACTGGATCTAGCAGAATCAGTAAGCCTTTTCTTACCATTTCTTACTCAGTTATTAGGAACAGTATGTTGTTCTCACAGATTTTGTACCTTTATATCAAAAGCAAATTCCTCTAGACATAGCTAGAAGTTTGTGGTTTCAGTTTTCTTTGTTTGTTTGTTTTTAATAAAAAAGAGCAGAAATAGATTTGATTGACCATATTCCAAATTTATAGTGTTTCACTTTTTCCAGAAGTTGAGGTGTACCAGATTCGCTAGTGACTTTCATCAACTCTTCAGTTTGACTGAATTGGTATACATACTGCTTACCCTTCAGGGAGATTTTGGCAGAGGTTTATAGCTCACTAAAATGAAAATTTAAGGCAAAAGCATAAAAAGTAAATTTATTTAAAATGCGAGTGAAGGGTAAACTGGCATGAAACTGATCTAAGCCTAGAAATTTTAATATTTGTGCCCTGCTGATACTGAGGAATAAACATGCATGTATAATATGCATTTATTCTATAGGCAGATTATCCATGTTGCTAAATGCAAAATGTTAATTTTCAGGCATTTATATGTTGACAATCACAAAACTACAAAAAAGCACAGCAGGAATTCTCTGCTATTCTAATATATGGTAAAATATGAGTTATTTGAATTGCACAGGAGGCTGGGGAGCAATAAAATGGGCTTGCAACTAGATTGTATAATGAAGTCCATGGAGGTTGGGTAGAAGTCCAGAAAAATATATTAACATAAAATATTAATTAAGAAGGCAAGACCTTCATTCTAGCAATAACTTTCAGGTTTTAGAATATATGTTATTTTGCATAATAAGAGTCAAGTTTTCGAAAGAGCTTCAATAGAAAGTCAAAAAGACCATATTTTGATAAGAAGAGAGTTTACTTCTTTGTAGCCATATAGAAGCATGAGACACTAGAAATAAAGAGAATTGTACTTCAGGATGTCTTTTGCAATTGCACAGCCTCAGAAAGACATCATACCTTTGGTCATTGCAGCATCTCTATCTTATTACACTGCTTACAAATGGCCAATGAATAAATTGATTTCTAATCATCAGAGTAGCAAAATCAGGAGCAGTCTCCTGGCAGAATGAGCAGGGATAGGAAACCAAACTGAGTTCTTAAGACTGATCATCGTATTTTTATAGTCAGGATTACTTTATGTATCTTCCTCTGCAGGCAGAGAAAAAACTTCTGTTCTTCTCTTTTTTTTTTTTTTTTTTTTACTGAAACCACCTCCTTAGAAGGAGGTGGCTTTCAGTAAAACTTGCCCAAGTTATTTTTCCCCATCTCTGAGTCGGGTTCTCCTAAAGCTTATTATGCCCATCTTACTATTTCTCCTAGCAGACCACAAAACAGAATACAAAAAGAAACAAGGCAACTGTGGATGCACACAGCAGCCTAGAACCCAACTGCATGTCTGAAGTGGCAGCTTCGTTGTTGGGAACATCTGAAAATGGGAACCAAACTGAAACTCCATGCAAACAACCACTTGAATTGTAACAGCTCAAGCAACATACTCACACCATGAACTGGAAAGTCTTGGAGTTGAACACACACAGATGGAATTTTGTTTTAGAACATCATCAAGAAAAAAGGCAAACTTTACAGAGCTAGCTGGAAAACACCTGCAGGGCTTACCGCATATTTTGGTTCCAGCCAGTTTAGGAACATAATTATTACCTCTTTTTATTACTTTCTAAACTAATTCTATGAGAAAATCTTCCGCATCCCTCTTCTACTAGAAGGAATGAAGAAAGAAAAGGAAAAAAAAAAAAAGGAGGAAAACACTATTAATGCCCTCTTCCTCCCTCACACTCACTTTTTCTGGTGGCAGTAGCAGAATACTGCACCTTTCATGAGATGTAGCCATGCAAACAGCAAAACAGAGGCCCCAGCCCCCTATCTATTTATGGCCAAACCAGCTACTGCCCCCAGCCACACCTGGGGCAGCACAATCCCTCCCCACAACACAATCACCCCAAGCTAGCCCTATTATGGTTCTCAGCCCATCCAGAATACTTCCAGGTGACTTTGTTAAGCAGACATCATTAGATATCACTTTAATTACCAGTCTGATTAAGACAACAGCATACCTAGCTTTCAAGCCAGAGAATTGTAAATAAAAGCAAAGAAACACTTAGCATTGACAATACTTACAGCCTCTTTTGTTCTCAGCCCATTAATCACCGTCTCAGGTTGGGGAGTTTAAGAACAATTTGGCAAGACTATAACTTCAATAAAGCTTAAGAAAAAATAGCTGCTTCTTTTTTAAAATGTATAGATATGCCTTCAGCTATACTTCAGAAATGGTTTAGAATTCATTTCTAAGCCAGAAACTGTAACAATACATCTTATTATTAAATGTGAAACACAGGGATTCTGCTGCCAAATAAATCTCCAGTAGTACAAAGTCCTCCAGGACCGTCTTCTGTTCCACCTCCAAGTTTTTCATCACTTGCTGCCTAAGGCCCAATTCCTGCAGTAACTTTGCCCACCTCCAGAGCTTCTCCCCTCCGCCTTCTCCCTTCCACTCCTATTGTTCAGTTATTTGTTAAATCATTTTTGTCAAGATAATTGGACTTTCCAGAGCCTGATGCACCGATTTAAGGTGAAAGGGACATATTTACTTTCTCACACAGAGTCAGTGAATCAATTTCCCTCCTGGCAGCCTCCCTCTAATAAAATATTTTTCTCTCTTTTTACTTAAAAGCTTATAAATACCTCTTTGGTAGAGAAAGTCTCTAACCTTTGTGCCTCCCTGCTGCACCTTTGTGAATGACAAAATGAACTCACTAAAGGTGTAGCCTTCTGAAAGATGAATTGTGTATTTAAACAAGTTTGCCTGTGGCACCCCCTCCCCATTTTGCCTTTTCAGAGCTTACCCATTGCTCTTGCCTCTCACCCCTTACTTATGCCCACAGCATTTTCTAATGGAGGTGAAAAAACACCAGGAGCAAATCTTTTTTCTTTCTCTTGAACACAGAACACAGACAAATATCTGCTAATGACAAAGTATATTATTTTCTGCTTCTTGGCTGTTTGTAAGTTTATGATCAATGTTATCAGGACTGGGTGTATATCTGGAAAAACAAAGCATTTCTATTACACCTGTTGCACTGCAGAATGTCCTGGTGAAAAGATGGTGAAGAATTAAATGGACTTCTTCCATCTTTTTCTGCTTGTACCCTTTTTTTCATTTCAGAGTTATAATGGTAGAAGTATAACACGCTTATCTTTTCCTTGTATATTACATTTCAACAATGGTAAACTCATTTAAGATTAATTTTGTACTGGGAGCTGGGAAAAAAAAATACACTTTTTCTGGAGATGACTAAAAAACTTTTACCTTTGCATTTTTTTATAAGGGGAATGGGTGGGAACGGTGAGTGGATAGCTATGGGTTACAAGGAACTCATATATATCTTAAAGTATGCTGAAGTAAGCCCCGATGTGGACAGATATTTAGACAGTTATTTAAACTGAACACTTCTGGCCCTACTTCACCCTTCCCTCTAAAAGCCCCCATTTACGCACACAAACATGTGCAAACCCATGGTACTAATTCCAATTTTAAGATCAGAAGAATTTCTTAAGAATTTTTAATTATTATTAATTTTTTTTAAGAAGTCCCTTGGAGATTATCATAACTTAACCGTAAAAAGCCCTGTAGCCCAGCCTTGAAGTTAGTGTTCCCTTTGGAGCATGAAGCTGGACTGGAGACCACCAGAGGTGCCATCCAGACTGAATGATTCTGTGTTCAGTCCCTGCAGTAGATGTCCGGGAGGTCCTCCAGCACAAAAGCCATAGATGCCATCTGACACTACCTGTGTTTGCACCCATTTACAAAATACATCAGTATTTGTCTGAAAATTGCAGCTGGGCATTTGTGCTGGGAATGCAAGCACTGATGTGTCCTACCTGGGAAGCCCTGGCTACAAATTGGCATTGGAAAATGATGCTTCTCATTGTTGCAAAAGCAAACTATTCCTCCCCTTTACGGGAAATATAAAACATAACGCTTTTGTACGTATTTTGCAGGTAATTATACTATATGTATATGTGTAATAAATTACTAATCAATTATTTTAACTGTGCTTTCTTTTTACTTTACTGGCAAACCAGGCAGATCAACTACTAATAAAGTATGCTTTTCTCTCCAAGATATTTTATATATAAAATATGTCTGTTTGTGTAAACAGACATATATTTGAGCTTGCAAATATTGAGCACTTGATTTTTTAGTGTGAGCATCTCAGCATATTGCTAGAAGAATAAATATCTTATTGAGAAGATTTGTTTATGCAGGTGTAGGTTGTGGGTTTTTTTTGGTTGTTGTTGTTCCCCTACATTCCTCCCAAACAACAGAAATGCTTTCTCACGTAAAAGCAAGTTATATTCATTCTATTCCCGTTGTGGATCATTTTTATAAGATGTCTCTGGTGGTATGTCTTAAAGTCTCCTCCCTCCCTTGGCTGATTAAAATCTAATGCTGCAGAGTTCAGTGCTCCGTTCCCGTAGGGTATATAAGAAGAAGAAAGGTTTTGTATCTCCCTTAGAGAAACCTTGTTGGTTTTTTTGTTTTTTCTTTCCACAGGAGTGGAACATTTACAGTAATGGTGTGCAGTGACCTTCTTCTCCTCATCAAAGATCTTTAGTGGTCATTAGAGTGGCTTACTTACACATAAACACCTTTAGGTTCAGAAATTGTTAGATTATTAAACTTATTTCACTTACTAAAGTTCATAGCTAAAAATTGAGACAAACACTTCATGTCTGTCTGAATTTTCTCTAGAAATGAAAGAATGATGTAAATTTCTTTCTTTGCATGTTACAGTCTTTTAGAAAATTGATTTTGTTTCTGCCAAATATTTCCACTCTGCCAATTCACTGACAGAGATGTTTATGAAGATTCTTGAAATTATTTTTTGTATCCTTGATGGAAAAAAAAGGAATTTTTTTTTTCATATTTACAGGTAAAATAAAAAGTTTTAAACAAACTAGAGTAAGTTGTACAATTAGTAAAAAGATAAAAGAGGTTGCACAGTGTCTCGTGAATGTTTCCCCAAACAAACCCCAAAGAAAGAACAAAAAAGCTTGATGAATGGAAAGTGACAATGAAGCTCAAAGAAATTTAAGCCTGCTCCTCAGTTGTTGTTTGATGTGATGGTGTCATCTGCAATACCCTTCTCATGCTGCAAGGTAGTTGCCAGCTAGTTTTACTGCAACACCAAGAAAGGTGAAGATGGTTGGGAGTGGTTAGAAGTGATTCTAAGGTTATGCACCAAAAAAAAAAAAAAAGTAACCTTAAATTATCTGGGATTAAACCATTAACTCCACTGAGATTTCAGCTTTTATTTACACTACATGGAAGTCAAGGGTGCAATAACCATTTTATTAGCATGGATTTTCAGTGCTTTTGTAAGTGTGTGCCATAGACTTAATGCTAAGTAGATGTACAAGTTCAGAATGTTAATTATTCATTCAGCAGAAGCACAAACAAAACCTAATTGGAATGAGGCACACCATTGTTGCCAGTGACCTTTTTTGGTGTAATTATAAGTTCCTGCCTAGGCTTCTTCATGGAATTCCTCTTATATTTTTCACATATTTAACTTCAAGTTCTTTAAAATCTTTTCTGTCATAGATAGTTTATGCTGAAAAAAAAAAAAAAAATGAATGCACTTCACAAGAAAAGGTTCTGTCCCCTAAATCTTTTTTTTTTTTTTTTTTCCCTCCTAAACAGAGCACACAGAAAACAGTACCTTGGTGTTTTCAATGCTCAAGTTGCAATGATATTCAGATCTTACTGAACTTCCTTTTCAATGGGTGAGGAATTTTAAGGTTTAAGAAGGGCAATTTAGAGCAGACACAAGTTAAGATATTCATCTATGAATGAACTTTTTGAAGTTTTATCCTTTAGTTTTGATATTTACTCCATATCATATAGAGTACATAACGGTCAAATTTCCTGATCTGACAGGGAAATCTTCTGATCTGGCAGGGAAACTTGTTTGTTTGTTTGTTTTTTAATAAATTATTTCTTGGTTCTGTTTAAAACCAAAAGTGAACATTAGCTTTAAAAAAATATATATATATGTATATATATAAATTAATTCTTTTAGATCTGACTCTTCTGAAGATAAGGCAGAAAGTCATGGAAAGTTAAGGCCTTGATTCAGCAAAGCACATCCTTAACTGTATATCAGGATCTCCTTGTTGAGTTCACTAACACCAGTCAAATACTTAAAGATAAACCCAGATTTAAGTTCTTTGCAGAAGCAATGCTTTTTCTGACTAAAACTGATTTGTTTTTGTTTTTTGCTTTTTTTCTTCATTTTTTTTCTTGTTTGTTTTATTGTTTATCCTGCTCAGTTTGTGGAAAGATAAGCGTTTAATAACCATTTGTAGAGCAAATTCTATGCTTTAGCAGCAAGAATTCATAGGCAACCATGAATAATATGAAACTGCCTGTAATAAAAAGCTAAGTACAATTTAGCAAAAACTTTACTTTATAAAGCCATGTACAACCACATACAAAGGCCTTTGTAACAAAGAATGGATATTACTAAGAAATAATAATAAAAGAGATGATTCTTGGAGTGATGATGCAGTGAAACAATCTACTCATTAGTTGATTTCGTAACTCTTTTCCTGAAGATTTTAACTCTTTAAGAGAAAGGGCAGAATTTCATAATTTGTACAATTTCTGTGCCTTAGAAGGATAGCTGTTTTGTTACAAAACAATAATATAAAACAAGAATAATTTAGAATTAGGAACAGCTTTAGTTTAACATAGCATACCTATCTGGGCTGATTTATAGGGATTGGAAACAAACAATTTTATTTTTTTAAAGGAACCCTCTATACATATTGAAACATGTTAAAAGACATGCTACACTACTACAACAAAACCACCAAAATGCAATGTAAAGTTTCCTATAAAT